TTTTGTTGTGTGACATGGGGAAATTTAGGCAGTTTTGAAGTTAAAAGTATTCTGTCTTGAACTATTTGTTTTTCCCACAGAAGACATTGTCCAAAAAATAGAATATACCTTAAAGACACAAATCACAAATAATGCTTTATGAATAAGCCCCCTTTCCAGACATGATGAAAGCCTCTGGAAATGCTCCTCTAGACAAAATAACCCAAGAGGCCATTAGGAAATAGTAAAGACTGTCCTTTTGTTTAAAATACCAATAAGTGATTGTACCTCTAGCGCATATTTTATTTCCAAGCCAAATCCTTTATCACATCACTTCTGTTTTCTGTATCTTTAAGCAGAGTTTAAGATCCGTAGATATTTACAAGTCATGTAAGTTGCTAGATGGTAGTTTTCAAATCCGATCCCAAAGACTTTTCTTGATTTAGATGTACACATTTTGGAAAATATGTTGGCTTACAAATAGTGACTTAGCTGTACGCATTTTGCTTCAAGTGGGAAAACGGACCTAGTTTTCTAAAATGTATTTTGCTTAGCAATGCAGTCTTCTTTGTTAGCATAAGGAAGCCTGCTTGATGCAAAAAAATCCATTTGTTGTATTTAAATAGCATTTGTGTATTTCAGCTGTTTGTGTTTTTAGCAAAAGATATCTGGAAATCCTAGGGAAAAAAAAACACAACATTTTAAAATCAAAACACTTTCTAATTGCAACAGATAAAAAAGCATTAAATGTTGACACAGAAAATACCTGCTATAAGGTCCTTCCCTCAACCCTTCTTTTAGTACTGTAGACAGTGAGAAACTTTATGTTTTTGTGGACCTCTGGTATAAAATCTTCCACATCACTGATAAGTATATTCTGTAAAGTCTTATTGGAGATCTCTGAGAACATTTCCTGCAGAGCCCTCAGCCTCAAATGCATATCCTTGTCAAAAATGCATAGTTAACTTTGAGGTATGACTTAGAGAATATAGGTCACAAACTTATTACTGCATGCAGATGGATTAAGCATTTTTGGTTGTTTCCATATCCTTAGGAAAGCAGAAGGAGCTCTGAAAGAGCCCCTAGGCATTGTGGTGGTTAGTGTGCTTGTAATCACAGAGCTACAGAATGGTTGGGTTGGAAAGGACCTCTGAAGATCATCGAGCCCAAACCCCCCGGTCAAGCAGGTTCACCCAGAGCAGGTTGCACAGGATCACATCCAGGCAGGTTTTGAGTATCTCCAGAAAAGACTTTGCAGTCCTCCTGAGCAACTTGTTCCAGTGCTCTATAACCCTCAAAGTTAAGATGTTTTTTCTCTTATTCAGACAGAACTTTTAAGTTTGTGCCTGTTGCCTTTGCCCTGCCACTGGGTGCCACTGAAAAGAGTCTGGCCTCATCCTCTTGTCACCTGCCCTTAAAATATTTGTATGTATTGCTAAGATCTCCTCTCAGTTGTCTCTTTTCCAGGCTAAACAGGCTCAGCTCTCTCAGCCTTTCTGTGTAAAAGAGATGTTCTGGTCCTCTCATCATCTTCACAGTCCTCCACTGAACCTTTTCTCATTGTAGTGTCAGGTGAAAACTGCCGGCTTAGGGTGCCTCTAACAGTTTAGGATAGGGAGGGAAATATACCATTGAAAGAACAACTGGTATCGCCAATATTTTAGCAACTGTAAATTAATAACTTCTAAACAATTCAATCACCTAATTACCATGGCACCTTAAATTTAAGTATGCTGCATGCACCAAAATGTCATGGTTTGAGAGCCTCAAAAATCTAATTCTCTAGTCATAGCCCCTTCCCACATCTCAACCTAGTATAAGACGTGTTTTTCCAGACAAACCACACGAGACTTAAAATGGGGAAAGGGTATATATTACAATGACTGTACAAATAAATATTATAATACATTATACACACAATCACAACTATCTCTACCATGATATAAGTATTTACAACAGATTAGATCTCTTCTCCCCTCCAAATAAAAGTCCAGGAGGGAAGAAGGAAAGATCCCTCTAGTCTCTGAGCAGTAGTATCTTCTAAGGCAGCAGGTTCTCTATGTCTTCCATGCAGCAATTGGAGCTGGATCTCTGCCAGAACACACGAGGGAGGCCTCCAAGCCCCTCTCGGCCCCTCGACACAGGCAAAGGGGTCTTCTGTGGGCTACATTCACCCCAGACAAAGGTTGTTCCACCACGGTCATATCACGAGCACAGGGGGTCTTCGTAACGATCTGGTATCTTCAAGGGACTCAAGCCCCTTGCAGAGCTTCTGTACCCTGCCTCAAGATGGCTGCGAGCTTCTTTGTAGCTTGCAGCAAGGGAGGGCCCCAAGGTCACCCTCCTACACACTGTCCTGGCTGAGCTCTCAGGACAACCGAGCTTCTTAGCTCCTTTACTCCATTTACTCTAATCAGTAAGAGTCCACCCCCTCCCCTTTGGAGGGATCTCAGAGAAAGTTTAGGGGAGTTTTGCAGTTCTTACACCCAAACTTTCTCTCTGTAGAACTTAGTTCTGCTCTCTGCTGCTGTTCTTTCTCTTTCAGCTTGCAGAAGTTCTGTCTGCTTTGCTGCTCTCTTATCTTTTGGCTCTGTGCCGCTGTTTTTCCTCTGGTCAGTGCTGGCTGCCGCTACTCTGGCCGCTGCCCACGGTGGAGAGAAAATTCCCAACCTTTCAGCTACAGACACCTGGCCCAGTTTAACACTGTTCCAGGTCCCTGCAGCCCCAGCCAAGGGGCTGGGAGGCTGGAGCCCCCCCAGGGGGGCTCCTGCTCTCTCCTCATGGTCTTACAACATGGCTACCACTTCTATCACCAGACTACAACCCCTTCTCTTCCGTTTCCTTGTGGTATGTTTTTATTTTGCAGGAGCGCAGATTGGTTCAAATCTCAAGTGTCACCACCCCCTGGGGGTTACCACTTTCTTAGCTTCAGGGGGAAAACCTGGTTCAAACCACTACACATAATTAATCACATTTTCTGTGGACATTTAAGGCTTCATCACATTTCTTCTGTTTCAAATAGGTAATTTCCAGTTTTGACACATTTTCTTTTTTACCCTGTGGGGGTTGGGGTTTATTTGGCGGTGGTGGTGAGTGTTGTTTGGTTTTGTTCATTTTTTGGTTTTGGTTTTTAAATTATGCTAGCAGCAACACTTTTTTTCATTGCTTCTTGATTTTCAGTTGCAAGAACATGTGTAGCACATTTTATATATTGAAGGAGCTCAGTTTCTTGAAAGTTGATGCATCTTATAAAGAAAGATTTCAATGGATTAACATGCCCACTAAGCAGTAGTGGGCAAGGTTTAAAGAAACATTATTCTTGAATAATGTAACCTATCTAAAAGATATCTCTGTTTCAGGACCATCACTTATATCCCTGCATAATCCGTCTTTGCTGCATGGTATGTTGACTCAATTGATTTTACAATTTCTGGGCATAGAGAAAAGTATAAAATTGAAGTAGCAAAGAAGATTCATTACCAGCTGAAATGGAGAGGTACAGGATTTTACTGAAAAGGGAAAGAGCTGTGAGAGAGTGGAGGTCACTGAGATTACTTCATTAAACAAGAGAATGGAGGATTATTGTTTTCAAAATACTTCTATTTAAGGTCTTCTCCAGATACCGAGAACAGAAATATGATGTTCCATCTGTACTGATGGACTATTGGCTCTGAGTTGATCTGAGTACTTGTTTAGGGGTATTTGATAGCATGAACTGAATTGAAGATGGAAATTATTAGAAGAGGGCAGAGTAAGGGTAACATTTTGAAAGCCATTTCAACTTTTGTTTTCATTGACTGTTGGTATCTCTTGTAGCATTTCTACAGGCAGATCAGCATCTGCTAATATAACTCCTAAGAAATGATTCTGTAATTATTTTATTTATGTTTACAAAGTCATGTGCATAGTAAACTCCAAAACAGGGAGCATGTACAAAAGCATAGGATTGTTAATGGACTAGTGTACATCACCAGGGAACTGTATTGGTTAAAGGCAGTTCTTAAAAGCAGGTAATGAGACCTTACTTGAAGAGATGTATGCAAACAGGATTGTATATGCACAGTAATATGTGTTATGAATGTGAACACTTGTGATTAATAGGCTGAATGTTAGAAAAAATATGTTTTCTTTTGACGTAGAAGTAATGTCTTCTGTGTAGTTCTTTAGAATCAAAAATAGGATCTATTGTTGGGCTTGTTCACAGGAAGGAAATATTGCAGAGGCCATGTGATGGAGATGCAGGGTTTTGCACACAAAGCACTGGTCTCTAGAAGCTCTGTATTTATTCAGCCCTATCTTAGTGCATCATCACTGGTCAGATGTGCCATATTCTGGCACCTCTTGTGTTTTTATTGCCATGACAGTTTCCATATTTTGTCTAATTTACAAGTCTCTTCTGCTAAACACATCCAAAAAATTTAGTCTTATTTTGAATGAAACAAAGGAAAAATTACCCTTGTGCAAACTTACAACCTGATGAAAAAGCCTGTAGATTATAATTATCCTCATAAGTTTATGTTCACCTTCTTACTGATTCCTCAAGTTAGACAGGTCTCATCCTTCCGGCATTAGTGTAAGGTTAATATCCCCTTTATACTTCCTGTTTTTACCTTCCATCCTCCTGTTTCTAGCAGGCATTTGCCATGCCTTCTCCATAAAGCAACTCTGTGCGTCCATCAGCTTTTCTTTAGGCTTCACCCTGCATCTCTCAATGTATGCAGTAGGCTCAATGAAAATATGGTGGGTTGCTGCATATGTGAGCTAAAAATCTCACAAAAAGAACTTTCTGATCAGTCACAGCATTGCTGATTAAAGCAGAACACAGAGTATCAGCATGAGAATAAATTTATTTAGATGCCAGCCTGGCAACACCTTGAAGTTTCAATCGATTTAACAATCTACCTGTGAAGAGGATGCAACAAGGGAAATCAATTCAATTAAAGATTTATTTGACAAGCAAGGGAAATGTTTAGATTTTAAACAAGCAAAAAAAAAAGAGTTAATTTCTAAATACTTGCTATTATCAGTGAATTCATGGCTTGATAAGGTACTTTTCATTAAAGATACCTCAAGTGACAGATGAAAAAATGCTGATCAATCATTCAAGCAATTCTTCTTCCCGGTAGACCCTAAAAAATGTTGTCATGAATCAATCAACTCTTTTCCATCTTACTTCTGAAGATGATGTCTGAAATGTAAGAAAATTGGGTTATAGACCTTAGGTTAGATTGGAATGATACTAATTGGAGCTCATTATGGTCTAATATAAATGCTAATCTTATAAATATTAAAGAGTCAAATCTATCTTAGTGTATTACACAGTACCTACATTACCTTCAAAAAAGTCAGCTTCATATCAACAGAGTGGAAACTGCAGTTGTCAAAGTTGCAGAGGAACTTTTAGAAATGAGCCGTCAATGTCCATAATTAAAACCTCTGGTCAGGCACAAGGAGAACCATTGACAAAAATGGTTTGGTTTTAACTTTAAGGCACATTTATTACTCTGTCTGCACCCTGTTCTTAAAAGATTTTTCTGGATCTATTTGCTAGATAGCAAAAATTGCCCTGTTTTTTTCACAAATTGCCTTTTGAGAAGCTGACCATGCCACAGCCATGCTATCATCCAGTAGGAAACAACATTTTTGGCACATGATGGGAATGACTGATGACTTGTCATAAAATTATGTTATCTGTGGATGAACATAGACCTATATTTTTATCTCTTTTTTATCTATTCCTGTCCAGAGCTGTTAGGTGACTAGAAAGTCTGGTCAGACTGTTTTGTTTTGTACTCCATAATGGTAAAAAGACCGAACTTTTTCTTTCCCACCCCTTAAAATACTACTCTTCTTCCACTCAAAATGCAGAAAAGTGTGCATTGGTGAGATCAATTCACTGTCATCAGAACTCAATTGTGAAAAAAACCCCAAACAACCAGATTATGTACTTCTCTCCTTTAAGCATGTTCTTTCTGTAAAATAAACAAAAAACATTTTCCTGGTAGAAGGAAAAGAGCATATGAGTGAGTTAGGGGATAGGAAGCTGATCTGAACATGTAGGATTTACTTATGGGAACAATGAGGGGGGAAATGGAGTGTCTGGAGGAGGTAGAAGAAAGCATTGTGCTCTAATTGTAAAATTAATTAGTTGGAAGAACAGAGTCTTGGGCTCTCAGCCCCAAACCAGAATATCTAACATCTGTGCACCAGCATTTTACTAAACAAAGCACAGAAACTGTGTTGAAATGCATATGTAACCCGAAACATGCTGTCTTTTCTGAGTACTTCTCAAAATTGTGATGTCTCCAGTTCTCTTATTTTCCTTTTTCTTCCAGTGACAGAGTAGCCCACAAATACCTTTCACAGAAGACCCAAATTAATGTTTCACCCTGAATTATATATGCAGAATTTTTAACCTGATCATAGGTTCTTCAAATTTGTTATTCAAATTTGGTTGGAAACATCTTTCTCTCTATGCACAGTGAGTGAGCAGTTTGAATGTATTCAATATTGACCTGCTATTCAAGTATACTTATTAATATTGGCCAAGAGTTGGCTAAGTTAAAAAGAAAAAGAAGAAAAGACTAACAGAAACACCAAACGTGTCTGCCTGTAGGAGGAATAAAGTAGTTAGTTTACTCCTCACTGTAACACTGGTTGCAATAATTAACTCCAAGGATGATAAAAGAAAAGCTACTGTACACAGTTGAAATTTTTTTTACATTTTTTTCACATTTTTTTCTTTTACATTTTTTTCCTTCCTTATCAAAAACCTTTGTAAATTTTATGGGGGGCTGGGGGGTGGGGAGATGGGAAGGTGTTTCTCTTGTATAGCTGAGTATAAGCTTTTAGCTCTCAATGTTTACAACAAAGAAACCAGATGTTAAGATGATAAACTCAAGCATTTGGAAGAATTGCCAATGTTATCTGTTCAGACTCCTTATACTCATGCTATACATAAAGCTTATTCACAGTGATATAATACTAATTCTTGGCTTCATTGATATGGTTTCTCCACTATTGGCAGTGTTGAAGTCCTTAGGGTATACCACTGAATTAGTGAAATAACAAATGAGTGAAATTTGTTGCTTTGTCTGTAAGAAATACGGTTCTTTTGTGTTGCGTTGGACTGGCATTTTTCAGCTTGAGAAGTGGGGCCCAGGGCTGCTGGGTACTGAGGCACTTTGTGGATTTCTCCTCTCATGGCCCTATGTTTCTCTCTGCTCCCATCTCTTTTCCTCTAACCCCCTGTAGTTTGCATCCTCTCACAGTGATGGGCACATTACCTCTGGCAAAACTTGCCTTCCCTTTATTGCGAAGCTGCCTTATTCTCTTGTGGTCTGAAATCACTGCTCAGGGGTATGGTCAGTGGTAGATGCAAGTCGGTGGAGTCTGTCAATTCCAGAATCAGGAAATACTCTGTCTTCTCCCATACTACAAGATAGGGAACCACTCGTCACCACCACAACAGATTTTCCTGCTGTAGCTATAGGAGATAATAGGGGAGAGAAGAGACTATTTAGATTTTATGTGGGAAAAAAAAATGTTGAAAAACTTGATTAGAGAAAACACTATGTGCACAGAATAAATTTTTAAGACAAATATTAGAATAAGGTATTATGTATTACAGGTTTGGAATTTTTTTAAAATAAATTACATTATAGTTAAGACATATATGAAAATGCCTTCCTGTTCATACCCTATCCTGCTGTTTATAGAGAACTTTTTCTCACAGTGGGTGAAAAGTTGGGAGGGAAAGAAGTGAAAGCATTTATCTAGGGGAAAAAAAAAATTGTCTTGTCAAAGCTTTTAGCAAAGTGAAGAAAATGGAGGGAAAAGAGCCTGAGAGATAGCTGTTTACTTTTTGCAAGAATATGAAGAAGAGAAAATGGCTCTAAGACTGTATTTTTCCTTCTTTTACTTCTTTATTTTTTGCAAAATAAACTCTGAATGCATCAGCTCCTACTTCAGCTATACTCATGACATACATTAATATTTTCATTTTTCATGGCTGGGCTTTGTGAACGAAGATTAGGGAAAGGTCTCTACCCACGTTTGACACAAGCACGCTGGTGGCTGAAAAGGCCAATACAAGATAGACATGTCAGGTTGCAAAAGGCACAGCAGAAAGACTCCTTAGGTGGTAAATTCTGCAAGGCATGATTTTTTCTGCGTTGTCTTTTCTCCTCAAGAGTGATGCTGCAGGCATTCTCAAAGGAAGCAGCAGTGTTATAGATGGCATGTTTCCAGGCCTCCCGGTTGGAGGCCAAAGTAGACCAGTTATAGTGATCAATATGGCCAAGGCTGAGACGTTGCTTCAGGGAGTCCTTGTATCTTTTCTTCAGGGCTCCTCTCTTACGGCAGCCAGTGGCAAGTTCACCATAAAGTAAGATCTTAGGGAGGCGGTGGTCCTTCATCCTTGAGACGTGCCCTGCCCATCGCAGCTGTGTTCTCAGCAACATGGCCTCAATGCTTGTGACTGCTGCTTGTTCTAGAACAGATGTATTGGTCACATAATCTGACCAGTGGATGTTTAGAGTTGTACGGAGGCAGTGTTGATGGAAGCGTTCTAGGAGTTACAGGTGGTGGCAGATTCAGATCCATATAAGAGAGTAGAATGCACAATGGCTCTGTAAACACTGATCTTTGTACCTTTCTTCAAGTGTTTATTTCACCAAACTCTTTTATGGACTTTTCCAAAAGCACTATATGCCTTTGCTAACCTGTTGTCTATCTCCCCGTCAATCTTACCATCTGAGGAGATGAGGCTTCCTAGGTAATTAAACTGCTGGACTGATTTGAGCTCTGATTGGCCAATGGTGATATGGGGATGATGGAAGACTTCCTGAGGTGCCAGTTGATAGAGAACTTCTGTCTTCTTTAGACTGACTTCCAGCCCAAAGAGCTCAGCAGCGCCCGCAAAGCAGGATGTTAAATGCTGCAGAGCTGCTTCTGTGTGGGCAACAAGGGCGGCGTCATCAGCATAAAGCAGCTCCTGGACAAGATGGTTTAAGGTCTTAGTGTGGGCCTTCAGTCGCCTTAGGTAGAATAGGCTTCCATCAGTACGGTATCGAATGTAGATACTGTCCTGATCCTCGAGGTCTGCCGTGGCCCTTTGGAGCATCATGCTGAAAAAGACTGTGAATAGGGTTGGTACAAGAATGCAGCCTTGTTTCACACCATTGGCTATTAGAAAGGGCTTAGAAAGTGCATTGCCATAACTGACTTGGCTGTGCTGATCCTCATGAAGTGAGATGATCATTTTGAGGAACTTGGGGGGACAACCTAAGCATTTAAAAATTTGCCATAGACCTTTTCTGCTCACGGTATTGAAAGCCTTGGTGAGGTCAACAAAGGTTCCATAGAGACCTTTGTTCTATTCCCTACACTTCTCTTGCATATACAACTGCCTCCAAAGGTGCAGCTAAATTAACTCTCGCGTGCTGGAACATCAGAACCATGCTGGATTCTGCGAATAGTGGATGCCCTGAGCGTCACTCTGCCCTGATTGCCCATGAACTGTCACGTCTCAACATCGACATTGCTGCTCTCAGCGAAGTTCTCCTTCACGAGGAAGGCAGTCTCAGAGAAAGAACATGGTGCTGGTTACACACTCTTTTGGTCAGGTAAAACCAGAACTGAAAAGCATATCTCAGGAGTCGGCTTCAAGATCAAAAACTCTATTGTTCCTAAACTCGAAAATCTGCCATCAGCTCATTCTGGCCGAATTATCTCCCTATGCCTTCCACTACACAACAAGCAACATGTTGTCCTCTTTAGTATATATGCCCCAACTCTCCAAGCTGACCCTGCCCAAAAAGATAAATTTTACACTGACCTGTGCCACCTTACCCAGAAGTTTCCTGCAGATGATAAGATCATTATCCTTGGTGATTTCAATGCCAGAGTAGGAAAGACCTTTGAAGCCTGGAAAGGAGTATTAGGCAAGCATGGTGTTGGAAACTGCAAAAATAATGGTCACCTTCTGCTAGAATTCTGTGTGGAGCAACAGTTCACCATCAGTAACACTATCTTTCAGCAGAAAAATAGTCTGAAGACAACATGGATGCATCCCAGATCCAAACATTGGCACCTCATCGATTGTGTCTTGGTGCGACGGAGAGATGTCCGCAATGTCCACCACACCCGCGTGATGCCCAGCACAGAACGCCAAACAGACCATCAACTGGTGCGCTGTAAACTTAACCTCATTCTTAAATTCAAACATAAAAGGGGCAGTATCCCAAGGAGGAGACTCCAATCAGCCACAGTAAGACACAAATTCCAGGCTAATCTTCAAACTAGGCTAGATAACCATTCCTCAGATTCTATAGATCCCTCTCCTGAAACACTTTGGCACCATATTAAAAACGGCATCCAGCAGTCCTCTGAAGAATCCTTAGGGTTCTCACTCAAGAAGAACAAGAACTAGTTCGATGAAAACAATCAAGAGATCCAGGTATTGCTGAGGAAGAAGAGAACCGCTCACCAAGCACACCTTGCACTGCCTTCCTGTCACGTAAGAAAAGCAGCCTTTCGTCTTGCATGCAGCAAGCTCCAACAGAAACTCCGTGACATCCAGAACAAGTGGTGGATCAGTCTAGCTGAAAAAACACAACTGTTTGCTGACACATTAATATATAGTTTATGAAATCTGAGTTTAACTAGTAGTGTATTTTTTTTTTCTGAGTGCCTGACAGATTAGAGGCTATACACACAACTTCACTTATGAAATATAGGTATTTCAACAACCAAAAAATTCTTTATTAATTTCAATGTTTTTATGTGCAGATATATAGTTTTCCTGATATTTGTACAAAGTAAAGGAAATTCTACAGAAGCCCTAAAGAAATATATTTTTCAGATATCAACTAAATTAATATCTTAAATACTTAAAAACTCTTTAGGCTAGTATTTTCCCTCTTAGAATAAGAAAGCTACAAGGGAAGATAACATTTGATGTATTATTATTTGTGAAGTGATTTAACAAATGTTTAAGTAACTCACTGCTGGTGTCAGTGCATTTTCCTAAGATGTGGTGTCCCATAAGACTTTCATGTGTGTGGTCCTATACCTTAAAAACAAGAGTCCATGATAAAATCTGGTTTTCTGCATCAGCTTTACAGTTATGTGTGATTTTTTTTCCACTGCCTAGAATTTTCATTTTGATTTGATAGTTGCCAAAAATTGCAGCAAGTTCAAAGTCACCTGCCATGAAACCCATATGGTGCGTGCATCAGATCCTCAAAGCCAGTGATTGTGCTGCAGACCTATTACCACTTTGCAGTATTGGCTTGACATAGCCTTGGACAATAAAACATCCTACTCTGAAGTAGGATGTCATTTTATGATTGAGTTCTAAAATGCCACAAAACTTGTTGATACAGGTTTTAACAGAAACAAGATTTCTTCCTTGAAGTTTTATCATTAAGCTGTACTTTGTAGTAGGTCTAGGAGTCTATATATGTTGCTATTTCTACCTAAAACATGTATTCTATTACTTTTTACCATAAAAACTTTTTTGACAGAGGACAAGTGCTTAAAATGAGAGAGAGACAACAGTTAATCTTTAACACATTTAAGTGAAGTTAACAAGTTCAGGCTTTGTACTATGGCTATTATAGAATACAATTAAGGCTGAGAAATATTAAAGAATATCTTAACTAACTTTTAAATGAACTGAGGGAGAGCAAAGTGAGAGATGTTCATTGGTTTTTGGGGTCACTTAGGCTGAGTACTTACAATCTGTTTTTCTGTGGTGTGTAACTACATTCTGAGCACAGCTCCTCTGCCCCCCAGCAGCAGATCCTACCCAGACACTCTGTCTTCTGCCTCAAAATCATTTTTGTTCCGATGACAGATCTTAGCTGAGCTCACTCTTCTGGCATGGCCTTACTTAACTTCTCTTCCTCTGCATTTTCACTCTTTAGGTAGTCATGGCCACACATTGGGATCAATGGCATGGAGTATGCCTGGCTGCCCTCCCTCCCAGTTTCCCACTGCTCCAAATCTCTTGTTTGTTCCCTTACCACCCCTCTCTCTACTATAAGCTGGCCTGTTTGCAGCCCATGAACATGCTGATCAATCCCTTGTTTGAACAATATGATCTTCTCAGAATTGACCCCTCTGGGGTTGCAAACATTGAAAACGGAGTAGATGGTTTCGCTGTTATCTGTATTAGCCTGAATCTCTGCTTTCTGCTAGATCTCATCTCCTTCCCTCCCACTCTCCCTTCCTTCCTCCCTGTCTGACTCTGTCTCTGTCTCTTCATCTTTCTTATTCACCTCCTTCCACAACTGGGAGACAGATCATGACTCTTCTTTCCAACCACTCAGGCTGCCATGATGGGAAGAGAAATTCTCGGCTATAATTTATCAGTCTGAGAACATGAAACACAAGGTTTGGGAAATATTGGTCTTAAGGGTCTTCTTTCCCCTGATAGGAACCAGACAGTTGGAACCCTCTGCTTGGAAGTGGAATTTGAAA